GGAATCGAACCCGCGACCTTTGGAATAGCAGTCCGTTACACAAACCACTACGCCATCCAGTCGTCAATATACTTTGATTCTTGAGGAAAGACATGGGCAGGCGGAGCCGCCGGCAAAATTAGTACTTATATTATAAAAGAGAAAGTGAGATTTGTTTGTTTGTTACGCTTTCACGCCTAAACCGCTGAACCGATTTAAAAAATTCTTTTACCAATGGAAAGCTACATTATCAGCGAGTAACACTGGCTACTTTTTACCGCGATAACCGACATAGACGCGGGCGGAGCCGCGGGCAAAAGTTAGTAAATAATAATTAAGCAACTCTGCAGTTGTAACAAAAGTAAACTCAAGTTTCTAGAATTAAACTTAATACAAATAAAATCATCAATTTCATCACATCAACAGCCTTTAACAGTCAACTGCTGGACATAAGCCTCTCCTTAGAAAGGAGGTTTTGGCCTACTATACCACACTGGCCAGACGGGTTGGTATAGGGTTTGTGTCAAGTTTTCCTTCTCTCTGCATTGCTGTTGTTCTGCGTAGTTTTTTTCCCTTACGATGAATAGGGGTGGTGACACTATTTATTCTTAATCCGTCACCGGACACGCGGACCAAATAAAATTTAATAACAATTAAATAATTTTCTCTCCTCATTCGACAAATGGTCAAACCTTGACATTTATGTACGCAGTCTGGTTACCATAGCACAGGCTCTGCCTAGTTTGGGATCAGACAGGCGACCGTACAATTCTCGGTTAAAATTGATCTGTTTTAAGAGTTCATGGTAGGCCAACAGATCCACATGAAACCAAAGAGTGGAGACCTCTCGTAGCAGATTGATAGCTGCGGTAAGGGATAGGATGGCCACGTCGCGAGGAGGGGAAGTGTTTGCCCCTGGGCATAATTAGGCATGGTGTCAATTTGGGGAGGACTAGGAATCCCAGGATACCTGTGGCTGGCAGTCAGGGTGATTTTTAGTGGAATCACCATACTCCTGGCTACTGAGCCCCCGTGGAGCAGGAGATCCGAAGGGGTTTTTAAACCCGTCAACAAAAAAAAAGTCTAACAGACGGTCGTGAGTTTCATTTTTTTTTAAGGACAACTCCGCATTTGGTATATATCCTGTGTTTCGGGGGACTTTACAAACATAAATAAAACGGACACAAAGAACACCCAGACTCAGAACGACAATTTGTGAATCACACAAAGTGTCGTCCCATATGGGGATCGAACCCACAACACTTAGCGCAGTAGCAAGCGGCGTACATACGTATGTCATGCAATATTATCCTTACCTCATTAATATATATTAATAACAACAATATTATAACTGCGTCATACCATTTGTTTGTTACACTTTACCTACTGAACCGAAGATAATGTAACTTTAACATGTAAGTAGTCATGGGTACAGAAATAGAATACCGCCAATAGGAGCCGAGGTGTCTAAAAAATATGTCACAAGGCCTGGGCCTCAATTCCACTATTTTATGTTAACGCCACTGTCATTCCATTGACACGCCACTGACATCGGTCAAAATTTCGGTATTCTACTAACATAAATTCACAGAATCAATACTGTCGATAGAGTAATATAGGTCATCAATGGTGATATCAACAACATTGTCATATCATGAAAATTTAATATACTATATAATTTTCTTACAAATTTAAAATGTACCGTTTACCAAATTATTACAAAGACATCGACGACATTTGTATCACTGACAAGTCATTGGCTATTGGTCTTACATAGTTAGTAGAATAAGAAAAGTGCAAAACTATTCCGACGACATTCCACCGATTTTTTTTTTTCTATTTTACTATTTTAATATTGTGTCAATAGATTGCTATTGACACAATATTAAAATAGCAGAATTGAGACCCTGTTTTGATAAGTGTACGAGATCCGGAGATATAGCGTTGGCTACGCTGACTCAAGTCTCAAGTCAGCAGGACCATTGTATTTCGGAAATGGCTGTAGCAAAAAAAAACAATTCTTTGCCAAAAAAATTTAGTTAAGCTACGCTAGCTTCAAAGACACCGGAAAAAAAAACCTTTCGAGAGATGGAGACTAAGTTACGCGGGTCAGCAGGTCATTAATATTAAAAAAAATACATTGAGTGACTACCAAAAATAAAGAATTAAGTATTAGGGAGAATTAGGAAATTGTCAAATGTCTGGTTTAACCCACACGTAAGGGACTTGGTTTGATACTAAGAAAAACCCTTTTATTTTGTTAACAGGGTGGAAGATCGTCACGGATGTCCTTCGCCCATTGTGGAGGGGGAGGGGGGGGGGGGGTCAGATGGACTCTTAATTAATTTTGATTGCTCTTATAATAACAATGTTAATTATTAAAGATGCATACATTAAAAAAATAATTTCATTGTTTTAATAATTGACATTCCTTATTAATGTAAAATTACGTAAAATGAATTTTATATACAATCTTAATTATCAGATTTTTCAGTGTCATTAATTGTATATAATTCAATTCATGTAGTACCAGCTTTTGCGGTAGCTCTCAAAGTACTATCATTTCATCTGAACAGGTTTAACGGTTATTGATTCCACATACAAACTTCCACCCCCCTTTTCACCCCTTTAAAGGATCATTTAGAGTATAAAAGCTATCCTATGTCCTTTCCTGGGACCTAAGCTAAGGTTCAGCAGTTTAAGCGTGAAGAGGTAACAGACAGATAGACAAACAAACAGACAGATTGACAGACACTTTCGCATTAATAATATTATATTAGTACGGATTTGGATTGTTTAATTATTAAGGGTCAGTATGTACATATGTATACTGTATACATATGTACATACTGACCCTTGTGTGTTGTATACAGTATGCACACCTATACTATTAATATTATAAAGTTGAAGACTTTGTTTGTTTGGGTGAACACACTAATCTCGCGTTGTGTGGGTCTGACTGTAATCAGTTTGGCATATCAAAAATTATATATCTATGGATCTACTAAAGTAAATGTACTGTTTTAATAGTTTTATAAAGGAAATTGTGAGTGCTACCCAAAAATATTTTTTTTATATTGATTAAGTCAGTGACATTTTTTTAAAACCTATTTCTAGAAATACATGTGCCAAATAGCCCGCCTTTACAGTAGTCTTGTGTTTTCTTCTCTTTTTTTTTTTTTTCTCAAACCCGAGGCATGCCTCATCACATTAAAAAAAAATCATTGTTCGAACGTAACACAAGCTGCGAGTACGCCCATATTACACACTAACATACTCAAAATAATATATATAATTAATACCATTTATATACCAATATAAATATATATTTCTATACAACTGCCATATTTTTATAATCGAGAATAACATCATATTTAAATGGTAATATTTCCTCCAAAATGGGCGGTTATCGATAATTTGTTATAAAATTTTAATAAGCATACAATAACGTATATTATTAATAGAAAAAATATTTGAGGGTAGTGGCTTTGAAATGTAAAAACTTGTTCTTTACTACGATCCTAATCATCTTGAGATGAGTAATAACATGAAGGTTATACAAAAACACTCATCCTATGCAAAAAAATGCATCATTATAACGCATAAACATTGCACGGATGTAAAAAATATATTAAAAATCGACGCTCGGTAATTTAAAGATTAAAATTTATAGATACAGAATTAAAATGTATTATTCTGTGTACTCACCTCATTTGTTACCACTTGAACTTAAAAATAAATACTCTTTTTTAATAAAGAATAATTCGGAAAATCGAAAAAAAATAAAATTAATCGCACCACAGTCACCAAGAGTCGCATCGCTTTGACACTTTGACAGTTTGTTTGATCAAGTTGCGTTTCATTCCCCACAAAACACAAGCCTTAGTTTCGTTTCGTTACTTATGTTACGAAACTTGATGTACTTATATTTTTAGAGATCCTTATAAAATCTTATTACGTAGTACACTATAACTATCCTAGAAATAAGTAATGATTTGTGATGACAAAACTTGCCACTATACGACTTAGACTTATATCCCAAGGGTCATCGATGTAGATTACAAGTTTGTATTATTGGTATTGATAAATTCTGATAGCTTGATTTACGAGGTTTAACATCGTATTTAATACATATTCGGCCTGCTTTTAATAGTATTTTTCTTTAGTTAACTATAAAAATGAAGTACCTACTGTAGGAAATCTACCAATAGTTTCTATATATGTACATATGTAGACCTTTTAAACGTTACGTCTTCACCAACAACCTAACGTTGACAACTTAACTTACCATTTTAAATAAACTCAATTGTCGTGTTATTTTAATTTATTGAGATGGAAAGGATGTTCATAAATTTTAATAAAGATGATTTTGAAACAAATATGATTTAAGTTCAAATAGCAATTGAAAACTTGCGACACTAAATAAAATCTTTAGTTTTATGTGGTATAGGAAGACGGGTAACTTAATGGTAAGTGATAAACGTCGCCCTTGGACACTTGCAACGGAAGAGTCACAAATGCATTCCCACACTATCAGTCCTTCCCCTCAGAATTAGGATGAAGGGGAGGGTTTGGTCTCTGGTAACCTCACTAGCTCGGTGAAAAGCAACGAATGAACTTATTAACACCGGCTTTCGGTGTAGCCGTGATAGTCTGGCTGGATAGTTAAATGTGATGATGATGAGTCTTCCATGTATCTATACGCATGCGTTGACGATGTTGTATTAAGTGCAATAATAAACTAAAAACTAACGACTGTTAAACTTAAACTGTGACACTTACTGATTCATAGAATTCAATAACAATAAAAGAAAACAAAATAAGACTCACAGTATCCAATAACATGTACATTGAAGAAAAAGACAATGACAGAATTCTAAGTATTTAGCTCGTGTAACAGAAAACACTTCGCCACTTTGTGTGCGAACTGTTTTAACAATTTCAAGTTCATTAATCGGCATACTGTTGCTGATATCATTGTTCCGTGTTTTAAGGCGAGTGTTGAGTTAACTGTTTAGAAAATGGGTGAGTTTTTAACATTAAATTTGTTACGTGACAAAAGGCTTATTACATGTAAAATAGACTGAAATTTAGAGATAAGTAGGTATATTTAAAATTTGAGAAGTTAGTTCTGTGCATCATCATCATAAACAACATGTAATAGTCCACTGCTGGACATAGGCCTGTCCTTAGAAATAAGGTTTTGGCCTACTATGTAAATCAGTGTACGTAAATTTAGTTAAATAAGCAGATTTGTAAAGTTCTGAACTTGATACAAAAATATACCTAACGGGTAATTAGTGGTTACATAAAATTGTATTGTATATGATGATTGTCGAATATATGTGTTTGCCTATTTTACAAATGATTACATATTAGTCCTGCATATATTTTAACAGAAAGATTCATCGTCGTTGTGATATTTTTCTTGTGAAAACTTCAATTAAGGAACTGCATCTACTCTTAAGGAGTTTTAAGAACCTGTACAAGAAATCCCGTCTTTTGCTGGTCATGGATTACGACTTGATCAGGTGGAAAGTTTTCTTTGAAAAGTTAAAAAAACGTGAGCGTGAGCGAGCGTGCTCCTTCTTAAAAAGCCGGCAACGCGTTTGTGACTCCTAAGTTGCAGCCGTTCATGGGCGGCGATGGTCACTTTCCATCATGTGACCCGGCTGCTCGTCTGACCCCTTTATCATAAAAAAAAACTTACTGTGTGCATTATTACGAAATAAAAAATTGTCAAGTGTATTTAGATGTATTTTTTTAACTTATTTACTGTTAGTTTAGATGCGTGTAATGGAAGAGGCCTATGTCCAGCAGTGGTCTGCGATAGGCTGATGATGATGACTGTTAATCTCAATAAATATTTGTTTTGTTAGAAGCTGAAGTTGAAAAGAAAAAAAAATTAAATAATTGTTTAATGATTTTATGACGTTAAATTATTGAACACTAACTACAATGTATTTAAGGGTGTGGATTGTGTGTTTGTAAATATAAATTCGAATCGTATGTATAACAGTTTATTTCTCACCCCATGGAGTGTATTTATTACTGACCCGCGCAACTTCGTCTGCGTCTCTCAATAGTCATAAATTTTCTCCGTTTTTGAAACATTCTTCATTGGTGCTAAGCTCCTATTGGTCTTAGCGTGATGATAAATAGCCTATAGCCTTCCTCAATAAATGGGCTATCTAACACTGAAAGAATTTTTCAAATCGGACCAGTAGTTCCTGAGATTAGCGCGTTCAAACAAACAAACAAACAAACAAACAAACTCTTCAGCTTTATAATATTAGTATAGATAGGCATTGTGTCCTTATTTGAAAAATACTCTATTAACGCTCTTAGGTGTACTATCAAGGGCTCAAAGACAATTAGTTTCTTTTTATTTTATTTTTGTTCGTTGGTTACGCAACATGCAACGCCGGTTTCAACTTCCTGCGGTGTTGGCGTTCGAGCCATGTTTGGTCTGCAATCGACTGTTAGTTGTAGGCCGCATTTTGTCCGGTATGGCGTCCTGACGCTTCCGTCACTATACCTCCTGGAGGTGGCTTCTTTCGTACACAAAAATCCTGACCTATTTCAGCGCCTATCTAACGTTGACGGGTAAAAGTTTGCTATGTATTGCGCCAAAAATTAACAATAAACTGCCATCCTACATTAAAAAAAATAATATTAACTTATTTAAAAATAAATTAAAAAATATTTTGGTTGCGAAATGTTATTATAGCGTTACTGACTTTATGAATGACAGAATTGTATTAAAGCAACTAATGGTTTTGACATGAAATTGCTGACATTTGTTTGTTTAAAATTATTGTATCATAAATTGACTACGGAAATTTAACATAGTTATACTTTCCTTTTATTATGTATTATTGTAAAAACTAATTTTTTTTTGCATGCTTTGAGGTAGAATGTGGCTGCTCATTGTTTTACCTTTTTTAACACCTTAATACCCATGTTCACATAATAAATGTTTGATATGATTTGCAAAAATCTAATTATAATATTGTTCATATTCAGAGATTTAAGAATGTCAATATACCATACATTTATAACTACAAACTAAATGAAAAGAGGTGCATTTTATGTCAATTAATAATAGTTTAAACCAATATACCTAAGTTATGATATTAACGCCTATTTAGAATAGCGTATGACCCAATATAGCTCCTTGGGGCACGCTGAAGTAGATAAAGCTAAATCTCAATTAAAAAACTACTACCGTGGATCGATTCATTCAAATAAACAAATGGATAATTGTTTTACTTAAATCTGGTTGTACATTTCATTGAAATGGCGATTAATAAAGTCTTATAGCCGTCTCCATAGTCCTGGTCAATGTGGTCGATAGGTGTCTAACACTCTTTGGTACCAGGGACTTCTTTTCTAGGATATACCTGGTTCCCCGGCTATTAGTACCCGAGACGGCGTGCGGTTTTAGTCGGTTCGAGTCCGACATGCCACCGGCAGGTGGTATCCGAGGGGATTTCAGCACGGAAGAAAAAAAATATTAAAAAAAATAGGTGTCTAACACTCTAAGGAAAGGTTTTCTTTTTTCTTTTAATATTATAGTAGTAATATAGTGCCTCGGAGAGCACGTTAAGCAGTCGGTCCCAGTTGCCATAGATGAACATGAACACAGGCCCGTCTCTAGCCCATTGGAGGCCCTGGGCAATTTAGCTTAATGGGGCCCCTACGAACTTAGTCGAACACTATTTTGTTGGAATATAAAAAAATGTATTGTAGTTAGTCATTACAAATGTGTTTTTCAAAATGAATATTGATTTTCGATTGGTGATCTGACAGGAATCTGGCCCCTATCGATCGAGGGGACCTGAGCACATGCCCAGAGTGCCCAGTGGGAAAGAGAGGCCTGCATGAACATCTGTGGCAATAGTTACGGATAGTCGAAGCCCTAGAAAGTCCGACAACAATCTTTCTGCAGAACTAGTGTCTTCCTTCAGACTAGTGTCCCATATATTCCATGATTGTTATCACAGTCAACTATAATTAAAAGTTCTGAAATATAAACTTACAGCTCTTTAGTTGCGATTATGGAGTTTCTATTGTACGCTTGCAGTACGCGCCACCTTAGTACTCTCACAAAGAGTTTTATTACACAACTCATTAAAATGGTAACGTACAAATGTTACGATTTCTTGAAACATTCACATTATATTACATAATTAGTTATACGTAAGGGAATTAACGCGATTTGACTAAGATTTTCTGTCCATAAATATATTTATACAGTTTTCTTGCGTAAGCAGACTAGGTTTTGCGGAGATGGCAATTTCTGTGCTTGTAGTTTATGTTAACAGTATTTAAGGCAGGAAAACATTATATTTTTCTAAACAGTCAATACTCAATAACATCACCAAGAAATTGGAATATTAATTTATTATACATATGTGTTAGAATACCTCTTGGTTTAACCATATAAGAGCAAGTATACAGTAAATGAGAAATAAGGCTAAGTCTCTGATCACGTCAGGAGATCATCTAAGTATTTGCGAGTACTGTATAATCCGTTCACCCTCGTTTCACTCGAGTGACGAAGAATTAATGTTTTAATAGCTTTATATATTGTTAACTGAAATATTTGATTAACAAAATGTTAATAATTTAGTTTCACTTACATCTTCTTTCAGATGCTTCGCTCTAGGTATCCAAATCTCCTTTGTGCTGATCCATTTCATTCCCCTTGTGGGTGCACTACACTGTGTTATTTTGAATCATTAAGATAGTTTTGAAAATAACGACACAAAATAATTGCACTACAAAATTGACTGACAAATAAGCCTGTACACATGCATGATTTAACAGAGAAAAGCAACTGAAATCAAACACCAATATTTCCCAGCATAAAACTATGACGATTAACTAAAAACCAATAAAGTAACTCAATCAATATTCCCACAGTTCTAACTGTACTGAAATTTTGTTTGTTGAAATTATCAGAGGAAAGAAGCGAGGCTTATCATAATATTTATGAAAAAAAAAATGGTCAGATGCTGTCTTCCTTGCTATGTTTTATAAATATTTAACGCCAAAAACAGTATTTTAGCCGGTGTAATCCTAAATCGATTTAGTGTGGGCTTCGAGCCTGAATTGGAAGGTGATTTAGTAGTATAAAAGATTTCTGATTGCAGCTGAAATTAATACAGCAAAGATGCAGATTGGAGCAATTGTATTTCTTACTTATCTCGTGTTGCCGGCCATGTTCGCTGAAGATGTCAGTTGTAAGTATATTTTAAACATGTTTAAAAATAAATTCAAAGTTTTATGATGTAACAACACCGATACACGGTGTTTAAGGATGACCTCAGGTGTTTAAGGATAAGGATACCCTCGAAGAGGTAGACAGATTTGTTATAAACGCCATCTTTTTGTTGTCGACTATATTTTTAGTTCCACTTACGTTATAGGAAGCAATCCTATTGAGGAAAGGTAGGTGATAAGATGCAGGCATTAGCAGGAAAGTGATATCCATACTAATATGAGTTTGTTTGCCCTTTCTTCTCATAAGGCTCAACCCCTTGGAAACGGGTGGTTGTAGATCGGCACAGGCATATCATAGATTTTGTATGGGTTTGATTTTTGTTCAATTTATTTTGCTTACTATTTGACAAAACAGAGATTGTTGCTTTTGTGTGTGTTGATCTATGACTTTAGAGTCTACATAAAAGACGATTTCAAACAACTTTTAAAATTTTATGAAATAAAGAGAGTTTGAGTTTGAAATATTATAAATGCGAAAACGCTTAAACCGCTGAACAGATTTAGATGAAATTTGGTATGGAGGTAGATTGATTTTTGAGGTAGGAGATAGGTTACTATTAACTGCGGTGATCGACATACACGCGGGCAGAGCCGCGGGAAAATGCTAGTTACTTATGTATCATCTTATTTATGTCAGAAAATACACTCTGGCCTATCTAAAGGTATATTAATGAGTAAAATGTAAGAAATGAACTTAAAAATCATGTGAAAACGGCAAAATAAAACTGTAGCGGCCCAGCATTATTATATTTTCTAAGGTCATGGCACCAAACTAGCCATGAAAACGTTGGAAATTCGACCGTCAGTCGATCTCCAATTTTATATTATGGTCCTGTTCCTTGTGTTATTCCAGATCAAGCTTGTGTTGACAAATATTCAAGAAAGGGATACCAACCTTGGCAAGAATGGTCAGACCACTACACATGTCATAGATACCGATGTGAAATCAGAGACGGAAAGTATTTTATAGCTGCTGTCGGGTAAGACTATATCGAAGGCTTTAACCAAATCTTTTATCACAGTAAAATATCTACATAACACAATAGTAATTATTGTAATAATCTTTGAATTCAGATGTAGAAAACCGAAAATACCTGAAAATGCGCTGGAATGCCACGAATATATTGAAGATGAAAATGTCGGTATGTAAATAGATTAAAAAGAAATAAATAATTTAGTAAAGAGCAAGTTCTAAAGACTAAAAAACTAAAACTATCTGAATCTGACTTCTGTTACGAGGAGCAATACTCGTCAGTGTACAAAACTAACTGTATCTGGCCTGCCTTTTTCTTCTAAGTTTTTTTTTTATGTTAGAGGGGACAGACGAGCAGACGAGTCACCTGATGGAAAGTGGCTATCGACGCCCATGAATGTCTACAACTCAGGAGTCACAAACGACTTGACGGCCTTTTAGGTAGGAGTACACTCTTTTCTTGAAGGTTTGAAGGTCGTATCGGTCCGGAAATACCGCAGACGATAACCCGTTCCTCAGATTGGTTGTGCGGGGCAAAAAGTGTCTCGAAAAGCGCACAGTAGTGGAGTGCCAACTATCCAGGTAATGAGGATGAAAATTTTGCCGTGTGGAACGATGGCGGAAATTTGCGGCTGGTATTAGTCCGAACAATTCCTCGGAGCACTCTCAAAGTCAGTCTTTTTTACTTCAAGTATATCGATCTGATTGTATGGTTTATCAGACTAAAGAGAATCTCCACAATTATCAAAAGTTATTTTACCACCTTCTCCATTATAAGAAGATGATTAAAACCCTTATTAGTATCTTTGTTCCATCCAGATTACCTTAAACACTGGATCTAGAGTTGCTTGTAGCTGCTCCTAAATTACCTAATGATTCTGACTGGGTTTTTCATAGTCCTTAATTCCATTTACTGCATTCGTACATACTTCGCAAGCTATCTCTACCATCACTAAACCTTTCATAAAGGCTCATGGCTTTTGCCACCATTTCTATAGAAACCACACTAATAGGTAAGATTCCTAGGTTTAAAATAAATTATTTCTCCTGCATCATTTAATGTAACGTATTCAAGAATGGCCTGAATCGTGCTAAATCATTAATTTAATCTTTTTATCGATTTGATATCTTGATATCAACAATAAATATAAATGATTTTGACAGCAGCTAGATATGACGTCACGAATTAATATTTCATACAAAAATGTACCGCATCTAGCGGTTTGACGTTTAATAGAAAGATGCTGATTTGACTTGACAGTCATCTAAACCATTTGACGAGAGATTTATTTTGCTTGGGGAACAATTACACTTTGTTTTCACTTTAAGAAAGTCCGTTTCGAATTCTGACCTCTCTGAACGATCATCTCTTTCATTATCATTAATCTCTTCTCTGCCTGAATATTGATTGGCGGAATATTATAGAGAATATCTACAGTTATGTGTACAATCACCCAATTATGTCTCTACTATAGACCAAACCTGAAGAGTTTGTCCTTTTAGTTCTAATTCTTTCTGCATTTTAGGCTCAGTTTTTGAGGACGGTTTAAGGCCATTTAACTTTATGTTAAGAAGAACTGAATCTGATGTCAATACGTGTCAAAGAATTCCGTTTATTTTTGAAGTATTGTATCAATTCTAATCTGTAATTTTAATTATCTAGAATTCCCCACATGTTGCGCTCGACTCAGATGTGTGGTAGAAGTCAACGGTGAGAGAATTGTTCAAACAAGGGGACAGCCTGGTGAACTTTTCCCTGACAAGTAAGCTGTTTACATGAATCCTTATTTCGACCATCATCATCAACGAGAGTGTAGAACAAGCAGACGTTTGACCTGATCATATGTGATCGGCCTTTGAGTATCTTCTAGAATTAAGCAGAAAATGGATCTGGTGAAAACATTCACTCTGTGAAAGGCAGTGAAAGAATTGCTTAACACAATTCTCAGATACGAAAACGAATCCTATAAAGTATATTCACCAGTCGTAAAGCAAACCCTAATTCTATTAGACATGGAAATTATTGCTACTTTTAAATCATATTCATTTGACGAAATGATTGGTTTTAGAAATAATGATTTCACTTGTGATTGTGATTTCGTGATAAACAAAGATAAGGGATATTAAAATCACTTGACCAGTCCAGCGTATTACTAATAATTAAGTAGCAGTGGTTATGTAAAACAGTTACATAGGTGAAGCAATGATTTTTAAATCATCTGATTAATCTCATGTGATTGTGATTTTATTTCATCCCTAAGTTTTATTTTTCTTCATACTTTTACTAATAATATAATTACTCTCAGGCCATGGAAAGGTCAACAAAACGAACCCAACCCAGCTGTAGTCGCTATGGGTGGTATCCAGCAAAACACCGTCGGAGCTGAGCCTCAAGGTCAACCAGCGCCCGGAATTTTCAACAGCAGAGGAGCAGGCAAGGATAAATTTGACTAACTATAATTATATACAATCTAGTCCAATATTTATTTAGACATATTACGTACGACAGATAATGCAATTTCTGTTCGTATGAGTGTTGTGTGTTGTAAAAATATTTAGTTAAATGTATAATAATTGACATATGTTTGCGACAATAGTGTAAAAAAACATCTACGGTTGGGTCTCCTGTTGCCACAATACCTACACATCAGCGTCGAAGAGTTATGGGATTGAAGGAATCGTGTACATTTTGTAGTTTAATTTTCTAGTAGTAATTGTAGATACTAATAGATTAAAATTTAGACCCTCTTTATTATTTTTAACCTATAATATTGGTTTATTGCTAAACATAAAGCCAGTATTTGTCACATTTAAAAAAAAACAAATTGCCATAAACAAATTAATTTTGTTTTTCCTAGTTTTATAAATATGTAGTTAGCAGGTTAACTAGTATTTTTCTTATTTAACACTTTTTTTATATTTGTAATTTGTTCTATGTAGTTATTAATAAATAAACTATTCAATTAATATTATAACACTTTTATTTATTTTAACATAGATGCTTAATATTTACGAATAGCTAAACTTTAATATTTTATTAATTTAGCCAACGATATTCCCGACAGCGGATGGCAACGATATTAATGGACGTCGCTACGTAGATCCGTACCCAAACCCACAAATGCAAGAGTCACCAAGGAAGAAGAGAAACGCATATCCTAGAGAATATCCGATGGCCGATCCGCGGGATCGCGCCCTCCGCGCTGAAGCTGAATTCTTCAGCAACAAACCTAAAAAACTCCATGGCTATTCCCCTGAAAGATACACTTCATATTTTAATAATGTAATGAACAATCGAAGAGTTGTAAATCCCGCTTTGCGTTCTAATATGATGATTTAAAAAAAAAATGTATTCGTCATTTTGATTTGATTAATATAATCCTGTTTATTTTCGTAGTTGTTTTGTTTTGGTTATTTGTTATTGAATTAAAGTAAATGTATTTTTGTTAATCCATGTATAAGTATTGTTATTAAGTATAAAATTAAATGTTTTGAATTTGATTATATTGAATTTTGTTGAAAAACGATTACCTTACCTTATGAAAATAATAATAATATAATCTAATAAAGAGAATAATAATAATACATCTGACACACAACGCCATCTAGTTTCAAATTAAGCATAGCTTGTACTATGAAAGTTAGATTTACCGATAGAATACTCATATACTTAAATGAATGTTTTTGGGCAAGTTGATTGAAAGAATACAATACCGCCAGTAAATTATATGTTACTGATTTCAACACGCCTGTTGGTCTAGAGCAGGGATTCCCAAACTATTTTGGGCAAGAGACCTCTTTTCTTAAATAAACTGATACCTCAGACCCCCAAAATGAACTGATAGCCAAATTACTGCACACTTATCGACTTGTTGAGGGTTTTGTGTGTTGTTTGTTTCTTTTAAAAGTACAACAATGATGCTTCTTACTAAAATATTGGTCATTCTTATAACAACTTGGTACACATAACACAACTAATACAGTATCTTGAAACTTTCTAATGAGAACTTGTGTTAATTAATAGGGAGCGATTTTTAGACCCTCATTCCCAAGGGGTCGATGTCAACCACTTTGGGAATCCCTGGTCTAGAGTTTAGTGGTTAGTGATCCTGACTGTTAAGCTAGAGGTCATGGGTTCGATTCCCACACAGGGCAAATAATAGTCTGATGAGTACGATCATTTGTTCTGTGTCTGGTTGTAATTTATCTATCACATGCCTGTATTTGAAAATATATAAGTATCTACCTATGTTTATCACGACGGTTTTCATACTCTCAAGCGTAAAAAATCGGCTCCATGCTACAGCGCTTACGTAATACCCGGAACAGCGTCCTGAGGATGATTGTTAGTAGACCAGACTATCCTATACAAAGGCACTGGGTGGCAATAGCAATAAGAAAACATAGTTGAATGCCTTCTACTATTACGTGTCGTTACTAACAATACTAATATAGATGTTAAGTACTTTCTGTTTCTAACCCATTACTAAACAACCTATGGACTGTATATGTCTCAAAATAAATATTATTATTATCAGCAGCAGTAGCAGTTTGAGATCAGACGGCCGTGTGTGAAATAAGTGAAATTAGTATTTTTACTGCCGTATTCTATAAACTGGAAGAGTGTCAGGTGGGGTCCCACCACAACGTTAGTACAAACATCAGTGACGTATATGTCAGCTGTGCGTCAATAGAAAAGTAGATAAAGTGACAGTAACTGTGGCTAAAGGGTTCCTATTAGTTTCTAGTCTCAAACTAAGCAGAGCTTGTACTATGGGTACTAGACAACTGATATAAATATATATATATTTTTTGTAAATACATACTTATTATACATAGAAACACCCAGACTAAATCAAACATTAAATGTACATGCACACAAATGTTTGACTTAAGCGGGACTCGAACCCACGACCTTTGGAATAGCAGTCCGTTACACAAACCACTGCGCCATCCGGTCGTCAAATTGAGTTACTTTAAAATGACAGTGATATTATTTAAATTTTCCAAAGTATCTTAATAGCCCAGTCATTTTAGGGTTTCACCTCGGAATCTAACGGAATAAGTTGAATTTTGTCCTTTATTTTGATAGTACAAAATAATGTTGTCCAAAAATCACATATGGTCACGTGTCAGCGAGAGATTCAAGATCAAAGGTCCAAAAAAATCTGTTTTTGAGATTATCTCGTTTCTTTATTAACCAACCTTAAAAAAGGAAGAGGTTCTCAATTCGTCAATAAAAAAGTTGTATAGGATAAAATTCTCTACAAATTTTATAAAGAAAAGTCATCCAAAATCATGTTCGATCAAGCGTTATTAATTTTATTTTACTTTACTAAGGTAACGTCTAACAACTAAAGGTCATTTGATGATGAGAGATAAGATTATTTTTGTAGGAGAGGGGCAAACGAGCTTACGGGTCACCTGATGGATAGTGATTACCGCCGCCCATGAACGCCTGCGAATCAGGAGACTCAAGCGTGTTACCGGTCTGTTAGGAAGGAGGTTGATGTTTTTTGAAGGTTTGAAGGTCGTATCGGTCCGGAAATACCACAGACGATAACTTCTTAAACAGGTTGGTAGTGCGAGGCAAAAAGTGTCTTGAAAAGTGCATAGTGGTGCAGTGCCAATTATCTAAGTGGTGGGGATGCGATTGCGATGCGGTTTGCGTCATTGTTCCACACGGCAAAATTTTCATCTCCATCACTTGGATGATTGGCGCTCCACCACCACCGCCTTTCAAGACACTTTTTGCCTGGTAGAACCAATCTGTGAAACAAGTTATCAAGAAACAGAACAAGAACAAGAAAAGAGCGTCCTTCTTAATCAAAGGCCGGCAATGCGCTTGAGACTTTTGAGTTGCAAGCGGTAGTCGCTTTTCATCAGGTGACCTGTCCGATCGTTTACCCAACCCAAAAAAAAGATGTTTTTAATCTATTTTTCAAGTCACTTTTATTCCTCATTCCGCATCAGTGCTACCACAAGTGCACAGAGTACATTGTAATATACTGAAACAAGTGCCACAGCAAAGCGGGGCTGGGTACAGCTAGTAAGAAAGGAATAGAATAAAATCACAATACCTGTGATAACCAGACATGGCAATTATGTCATTATTATGTCATGGCTAAAATCACTGCGATTTCAACTATGATTGTGATTTGCTCATAGACAAAGATAAATGAAATCAAAATTAATCAAAATTATTTTTAGCAATGATTACGACCCAGTTTTTTTAGATTTAGACCTTTCGCGAGTCTTCTGGCGCTAGCTTAAAAATAAGTCGCAGTGTTTTCAAACTCACATCTGAGAATAATTTACAATTATTGTTAAAAATTGGTGTGATTTTCTAATTTAATAAATCATATCGTATATTTAATAATAAAAGGTCGTAATATTTGATGAAAAGAATTTTGCTTGATGTCATTTGAATTGAATTGACATTTATCTTTGCCTATGACTAAATCACAATTATCACAATCACAGATAAAATCACTGCGACTAAAACCAATAATTATTAAAAGTAACAAAACTAGCAAAATTCCATGTTTACTTTTAACAACCGAGCGACAATCTAGCATTGAATGGATGCTATCTCTGTTTCTCAAATGTAAAACATGCATTGCTATTCTTTCTATCAATGTAGGTTATAATTCTCTTTAAATCTGTCCTGATGCCGGATATATAGGGTAAAATATGCTAAATACAACTAAAAAAAAAAAACTAGATACTCCATTGAAGTCCATTGTCAAAAAAAAAAAACAATCTTAAATGTTTAATTGTTTAGATCAATGTTCCATTAAGCTAGATTATTTATAGTGGTTAAGTTATTTATGTTAAATTATTATATGTCTAATTAAAAGAAAATTGCATTTTATCAGTTTGAAATAATCGTTTTATAAATGAATGACGTTTAAAGCCGTGAAAAAGTTTTTATCGGAATCTTTAGAATGGTTGAACCTGAGAAACCTTTTGCCTGCACGATTCCCGATTGCGGGATGACGTTCACCAATGAAGACCACCTCCATGTTCACACGAAGAAACATGACATGGTGCTGCAACTGGGGTTGGAACAGAAAGCGGCGTTTGTCGGTAAATTTTTTTCATCTGGATATTTTGTTGTAGTGGGATCCTGTGTTATTTCTAAAAATACTAGATTCTACCAATATAACAACTAATTGAAGAGATTTTTTCTGCTCGTTTTATTACTACAACCTAGCAGTCTCCCACAGTTTCACCTGCATTTTAGTCACAACTGAACTCTTACTTATAGAATGTAACAGAAAGTTAATTTCTTTAATTATTTATTTTATTGCTTTTTTTTCATGTTTCAATAATTGAATAATTATGTAATTGAATCATTATTAAAAATCTAATGCTATTGGTAACGGAGACAAATCCAACAAATCAAAAATTAATTGTAATTTAAAGAAAATAATATTAAAAGTATGTATTTTAAGTTATATTAAATAACTTAAAATAATTATTATTATTAATTATTAAACTTTAATTTAATTTAATTTTAATTTACATATCAAAATAAAATATTATCAAACATAGAAAAACTAGTTTCAGTAAAAAGATAAGAGATTAAAAGGACAAACATGTCCTTTTACTTGTTTGTCTTTTAAATAATTATCTTATCTTACTCTCTCTCTTCTCTTCTTCTTATAAGTTAGCTGTCTATTCTATTAGCTATTCTGATGATAAAGTTCAACGAAAAAAACCTTCCGCATTACAATATTAGTAAAGATTTAAAATAATGTCATTTGTCATGTCTGTATATTTTTTTAGCTGACCAGACACCAACCCCAACTCGTTTTATCAGGAATTGTGAGGAAGTGGGATTGTTCCAGGATCTTCAGAATGTCAACCCTTTTGACGAGGGCTTCAAAAGAGCAATGGAAACTAAGTAAGTTATATTTAGTTTTATTTTTTTATAATGATTTTGATTTGGTCATCGGACGATACTGTTATTTTGACTGATTGACAGCAAAAATAGTTTTGTCCAATGTCATTAAAAGGTAAAAACCACCTGTGGTGTTGTATGATAAGCTAATCAGCTAGTTCACAAAAAAAATTCATAGAATAAGCAGAACTAACCAGTTGGTGTAGTTAGTGGTCTCTAACGCCAAACAGAAGGTCGTGGATTCGACTCCCATCGCAGCGAAGTGACCCCGTAAGTATTGTGTGATTAGCATGATAATTTTTTCTGCCTCTGGTGTAATTTAGAATATATAAGTATGTTAATCAGCACAGGTTACCATAGCATATACTCTGTCAGATCGGACAACCGTGTGTGAGATTAATATTATTATTGTATTGGTTCTGTGTGGTGACAGATTAAGAATACAGAGTGTCACCACCCCTATTCATCCCATGGGTGTCAAAAAGACCATTAAGGTAGCAAACTACGCAGGACATAGGCACTGCAAAGAGAAGAAGAAACAAACCCTATACCAACCTGTCTGGCCTATGTCCAGCAGTGGACTAGTAAAGGCTGTTGATGATTATTGCAATCTTCACGCATCTCAGTTAACGTGCTTCACCCTGCCTAAATGAAAGAGGAGAGAGCCTTAAATAACCAGTGTTTATATTTTTTTTACAGAGCTGGGGTTCTTTGTATAGACAGCATGGCAACTTCGTCTGACGAGCTTCACACTCCTCAGATGGTGTTCCCACTGATTGATGGTGACTCAACGCTGCACAGCACCACTAATAACAAGAATATTACTATAAGCAGGTATTTAACAGCCCCTATCCACAAATTATTGTTCTGAGTCTGGGTGTTCCTTGTGAACGCTTCATATATGTTTTTAAAGTCCCCCACAACACAGGATATATTCCTAGTTCGGGATGTGTATGAGATTTACATCGACACTATGAAGACAACTCAATAATATGTTAATTTGTATCTCCAGATCCTCAAGTGACGAATCCGGTGCCATCAAAGAATTTGAAACGACCACCATTTCAAAATTAACCAACGAGGTCACCACAATAAGCAGAATCGTTGGAAAGACTGAAGAGAAATCTGATAATAGCAAAAACGATGTCAGGAAAGACTCCGTTTCATACACAAATAACGTTATCAAAATCAGTAATATGGTCAGAAAGGATAGCGTTGAAAAGAATCCAATTCAGACACTCATTTACGAAGATACTGTGATCCGTGATAGCAATATGATCTCTAAAGACAGTGTAGATAAGGTTCAAAACTCATACGTAGAAATCCCACCGATAATGTCACAAAAATCCTTAGATTTTATTGTAGATAGCTTAAATACTGACTTTGATGAAGCTAAAAAGAAATCAAAAACTACCGATGAAGATTATGAAGTAATTATAAAACTACCAAATGGTAAACAAGTTAGAATGCGTGCGGTTGATGAGGTTGTTGAGAAACCCAACGCCAAAGAAGCTTTAAGAAAAGTGATCTCCGAGAAGGTTGAAGCGAAGAACTCTATTAAAAGACTCAACAGTATTGTGGTTCCAAATATATCTAGTGTTGTAGTGCCAAGTGTAAATAGTTTAGTGACTGGGACACTGATCCCAGTGACTCTAGTGAATAGTGGGGTACCAAAAGTGCCAATTATTCCTCTTAAAGTCCCAGAGAAGTATGACAAAAGACCTGTTAAGAGAAAAATGAGTAGGACCGTAGATGGTATGAAAAATGGTGATGCGAATGCCAGTTGCAGCAAGAATGACAGAAAAAGTTTAGCTGCGGAGGACTTGGATAGCAGATCAGCAGCATCTAGAAGATATAGGTATGGTTTTCAGCTTATTCGTTTATTAACTATAACAGGACATCTAGCCCTGAACCGACAACCATTCACTATTAATGCGACGGACAGTCCTCTTTGCAGAGGATGTCTGAAATCAGAAGAAACGGCTGCAGTTTCTTCTCATAAGGTTCAACCCCTTGGAAACGGGCAGTCGTTGATCGGCACATGCTTATAATAGATTTTCGATACGTATATTTATTTTATTTTAAGCCTGTATTGTCCCACTGCAGGACAAAGACCTCTTCCCTCCCTGCCACTTTCGCTGTCGCTAGCACACCACCACACCAGTCTTTTCGGCAGCCATCTAGATCGTCCCGCCATCGTCGCCTGGGCATACTATGTTGTCGTAAAGCACCTTGTGGGACCCAAGTTGTGCTAATTTTTGCCCAGAAATCCATCGGCATGCGCCAAACGTGTCCGGCCTAGTCCCACTTGAGTGCGGTAGCTTTATGAGTAACATCTGCGATTTGTGTTTTGGAGCTATCATCATTATTTATTTTGCTAAATATTTGACAAAACAGAGATTGTATCTATTGTGTTATGATTTCAAACAATTTAAAAGGGAGCAAACTACGCAGGACAACAGCACTACAAAGAGAAGGAAAACTTGAAACAAAACCCGTATTAACCCGTCTCACCAGCGTGGTATAGTACACCGAAACCTCCTTTCCAGCGTGGTATAGTAGGCCAAAACTTCCTTTGTAAGGAGAGGCCTATGTCCAGCAGTGGACTATTATAGGCTGTTGATGATGTATGTTATGAATTATGAAATAAAGACAGTTTGTGTTTGACTATACTGAGTACACTTTATAGATCAGGTTAAAAATATTTTGTAAACTTTTTTTTCAGGGCACGGTTAAAAGAGACATATGACCGACAAGCTCAAGAAAATAAGCAACTGAAAGAGCTTAATGAAAGTCTTTTAGCTGAGAAGGCTGTGCTGAGGAACCTCATCATGGAGCATTTGAGAAGCTGCCCCAACGCTGTCGAAATGAGTTAGTTATTTTTGCTAGCTTTATTTTTATTTTATGTTTAATGCTTTATGCACAAGAAAAATGTACAGAGGAGGACTTCTGCCAGTCTACCTTGGAGTGGTGTAGAAATGAGTGATTAGGGGCACTAAAATTGGGAAAATATACAAGACTTGACCAAGAAATACATTTACACGAAAAGAGAAAGAATCATAGGAAATATATAAATCTACTAGCTGACCCCGCAAACATTGTTTTGCCATATACATTATGTCAGTTTACCATAGCAGTGCCATCTATTGATTACTTACTCAATTCAGTCGAAAAGTATCGACATCTGTTAGAATCTTTTGGAGTTAACAGATAATTGTGCCTGTCAATTAATTATAGACCAATAATTTGCAATAAAATAAAATTGCGACTATAATTAAAGATCTAAGCTCTATCTCTTAAGTTGGACCAGACTGCTCACGGTGTGCCAATTTAATTTAAAATCGGTTGAGTAGTTTAGGAGTCCATCGCGGACTAACATCGTGACAGGAGATTTATATATATTAAGATAATATAGAATACTATGGATTATAGAATATACTACCTGATTGAATGACATTATATATATAATACACATGTACACATACATACAAATATATATAAAGCTTATTCCCACGTGTACATGGAGTTTTCGTCAGTTACAAGGTCCCTACTAATATTTTAAATGCGTAAATAACTTTTCAGTCAGTTACGTTTTCACGGCTAAACCGCTGAACAGATTCTAATGAAATTTGGCCTGGAGATTCTTTGGTTCTTGAGAAAAGACATAGGGTTTTTACCTCTATAACCGGACATATACCGGGCGGAGTCGAAGGCAAACGCTAGTAATAATATATTAAAACATCGGGACACCTTAAACACCACCATTTAATACTAAACTAAGCAGAGCCTATACTATAGTAACCAAACTGTTGTTAAAATCGGTTGTCTGTAAAGTCGGTTTACTGACGATAGTTGAACGTGACAACGTCATAAGAAAATACTGGTGGAATGGTTGCATTTTTCAAAAATGTATTATTGTATACGAGTAGCAGCTGTCCACGCGGACGCATCGCTCACTCAAGTAGGAGAGAGACAGATGTCGAACGCTGCCGAACGCGGATTGTGCCTCTTTGTCACTCGTTCCGCGCTCTCGCTTGCACTTCACGCCTTAAATGGAACGCCTCAGAGCGAGGTAACGCCGCATGAGTCATGTTTTTTCGTGCGTGCAGCCGGCTCCATCGAATTATAAGACGTTCTCACCTCAAAAACATATACACACACATAAATTATAACTAGACAATGAATAAAATGACAATAATTTGTTGTTGTGAAGGAGTCAACCTCTCCCTTAGCAGTTAGGACCCACTAGACCCATGGTGAAAATGATTTTTGTTACTATTTTATGCGCTGAGGTCATAAATATATATAAACACAGGAAACAGTACAGCAAAAGATATAGAATACCTTTTATCCAAAAATTAATTTGAAAACAATAAAATTTATGCACAATTTTGTTTCAGGGTCTATCATGGAGAAGGTCAAGTTCTCTGGGACGGAATTATAACAACACGCCATAAAGCATTATGGTCTTAACAGGGTTATTCAAAGTTAACATACGATAAGACTCGATAAGTTAACAGATATTGCACAAAGAGTGCATGTTTTGTGGTGTTGAAATTGACTAGTTCGAGTTTTAGAAGATAGATGGCGTTATTTGACAGAGTTTAGTTGTTTATGGTATAGATGTCACTCGTTTTAATAACTTAATAGTTCCAAGTCTAGGGTATAGATGGCGTTAGGTTAGGTTGGCCTTGCGATCTTCTGGTTAACTCATCTTAAAAAAAGGCTGTGGAAGTCTTGTGGTGAGGCTAATGTACAATCAGGTTTTTTAAACAGGGATAGTAACTTTACACAATTCTACCCTTAGTTTATGTTATCTGTGGTGTGTAGTATCTTTATAGATATGTTGATATGTTTTGGAACTGACTACTATATCTTCAAATAATATTCTGTTACTTAATGAAACTAAAAACTTAGATACACAAAAATTTTGGCGCGAAATCACTCGTTTAGTGACGTCACTAAAATTTGATATACCACTGTACAGTTCTTTACTTTACAAAGCTAACCGATTAATTGACAGTTCACAAGAAAACCAGATCACTAGTTTTCTGGAGTTTTTTGTTTAGCTTTAGAGATTACATATTACTAGTTTTCTTGTTAACCCCTCAAGCTAAACGCTAATACGCTACAGCTTACATACCAACTGACAGCTGTCAAATTTATCTAGAGTTGTATTGTTGATCACAGTTAGTTTCATGTAGGGGGTCATGCCCCTTTAATTCCCCCCCCCCCCCCCCCCTCACGAACCGTGCACACATACATCATTTTCAATTTAAAACAAATGTTACTTTTTTTTCTAACTTTCTACACTCCCACATTAACATTTCAAATCTTTGATATCTTCTAAGATATTCATTTTAAGGATATGCTATACTTGGCAGTTTTGATCTACATTAAATGCACAACGTATCTACCGTATTTAATTGGATAAGGAATAATACTGTATTGTTCAGAATAGCGTCGTAAATCATCTCAAATTTTTTTTATAACATGGAAATGATAAAAATGGTTACTGTGTTTTAAAAATACACAATTCCGTAGTAGATTATTTTGATCCATCTCGTAAGGTTTAGCCAGCGTTTGCAATGTAAGGGCACAAAAACATGCTTTTTACGACTTCCCATTAAAAATATGTAAAATTCTCAGATCTACTATAATATTCATGTAATAAACAATATACATATAAACCTGGCCTGCCTAAAAGATCTAAGCGTACAAGAAAAAAAAGTGACTTCATTTTAAACTTTGTAAAGATGTCCGTGTAGTGACGGATTAAGAATACGGAATGTCACTACCCCAATTCATCCCGTGGGTGTCGTAAGAGCCGACTAAGGGCGCAAAACAACGCAGGACACCAGCACTGCAAAAAGACGGAAAACTTGACACAAACCCTATACCAACCCGCCTGGCCAGCGTGGTATAGTAGGCAAAAACCTTCTTTTTAAGGCGAGGCCTATGTCCAGCAGTGGACTATTAAAGGCTGTTGATGTGATGTGAAAGATGTTAAAAGAGCTGTACTCTTATTTCTTGAGTGACGACATTCTCATTCTCTCTTTTTCTTTCTTTTTACCCGACTTTTCCAGAAGGAGGGTTATTTTTCTGAGTGTATGTATGTATATTATTTTGGCGCGCTCTGTAGTCTAAACGCCTTGGTGGATTTTGGCTTGGTCATTAGATTTTTCTTATTTTTAGTGGCAAATATAATTTTTTTAACAATTAAAGTCGCCGGTTTGTAAGTTTTAAGTATCTGGGTATACTTTTTATTTAAAAAAATGACCTTGTGTAAATATCGACTTTATGAATTTGTTTTGATAATCCTTTTATGATTACATTGGTTGCACTTAAGATTTTAATTAAAATATTTCACCTGTAAGGTTGAAAATTATGACAATTTATCGTGATTTAGACATATTATTGAACTTGGTCATTTTTTTTTAAAGTTAATTATGTTATAAAAAATATTTAAGTAGTCGCCTTTAAGGCAAAAACTTTGACTATAATACACAATTCTTTTAATATTTAATAAACTTCTTTAAAGCTTTAAATATTATTTAAATTGTACAAAATATTGTTAGATATTTTTAGTGTATTTGGTATTTTATAATTATAATAATTTTGTTGGAAACTGACTGTAACTTATTTTAAAATAATGTAAATAAATATTAATTTTTTTACCTATGCCTTGTTTCATTTGACTGGCTAAATTCTAATTGCCAAGTTAGTGGGTTCGATTCCCACTCATGATGAATATATTTGTGAGATGATCATTTTTTCTGTCTGGATTAAATATACATATAGTGTATCTCTGTCGGGGTTAGCCTATTGCGGGATTATATGGTCGTATGTGAGATGTTGATTTTGTTATAAATGTGAATGTTTAAGGTGGAATTGATCCCGCAGTCTCTGACGTTGAATGCTCTACAGTCGTGGCACGGAGTAACCTAACTATTGTTTGTATCTGTCAATGACCACCGACCATATTCTTGATTGATCATCATCATCATCATCATCATCATTCCTCTCCTTAGAAAGCAAGTGTTGATTTAATATACCATCCTGGCCAGACGGGTTGGTATAGGGTTTGTTACAAGTATCACCGCCTCATGCCGCCCTGAGTGTGGCCGCGGGTGGACGGGGTGGGTTTCCCCTCCACCCGCATTAGTTTGGCCAGCCGCGAGGGGGCGGCGTCCGCGTGTGCCGGACGTCGCCTAAAGAGAGGAAAATTTTGAGACGGAGCCCGCACCAGGAGCGGGCTGGCGCTAGGAGGGGTCCGGATGTCTTAATAACAGCTGTTCCCGGATCCCTCCTATTACAGGCGCAGAGTGGCACACCGTGTGGTTTTAGTCGGTCCGAGTCCGACACACCACCCCGCCGCAAACCCCGGAGGGGTGACGGTCCGAGGGGATTTCCACACGTAAAAAAAAAAAAAGGGTTTGTTTCAAGTTTTTGTTCTCTTTCCAGGACTTCTCTTTGCATACTTGTATATTTATAGATAAAGTACACCCAGATTTAGAAAAAATGACCATGCTCATTACACAATTATTTGTTTTGGGTGGGAATCGAACCCACGACCTCTGGCGTAGCATTCAAGGTCACTAACCACTAGCTCAACAGGCCAGTCAGTTTTGGGATAAGAAAATGGTTGAAATAAAAACAATTTGTATAACAATTTCTATAATTATGGCACTTTAATATTTGACAAGAAATAATATTGTATACCTTAGGTTTGAAGCTATATGAACAGAACATTAAATTTAGGAATTTCGGCTCATGAACGATAGCCAAGCGCAGGAAACTTTCCATTCCATTCTAGAACGAGTCCAAACCCCATTAAATTTCAACACACGCAATCGGATTTATTAAAATCCAAAATCCGCGTCTCGTGGCTAGATTCAAACCATAAGTTTACATTTTTTCATTTATTTGTGCACAGGCTTAAATGTAAAACGTAGTTTACATTTAAACCTACGTACATATGACAGGTAGACCATCGCACGAAATGTGAAAAAATCTGTCAACGGGCCACAATTTCGACTTTAGAAATGTGAAATTAACGACTTAAGTTTAAAAGTTTATACTACAATTACTTTAAATATTAATTTAAATATATAAAACTCAGTGTCAGGTCCTAAAAAAAATCTTAAAGTTAAATAAATGAAGTCCGAATTAGATTGAGCAAAACTACCTACCTATATTTTTAAGTCGCACGACTCAGATTGTGCTACTTAAGTCGTTTAATGCGACTTAGGCAGTTAAAAAGTTATCGTTGGTCAATAATAACCGTTTAACTTTTTAAGGCACTGCAGTGAGGTTACACTACTTAGTGGTAGGGTCTCTGAAATTATCAAGGGATTAACTTTGGAAGACGTACTTTGTATGATACCCGTCTTAGAAGTATTTGTAAAGATAAACCTTTCAGTAAAGTCGTTAATTTCAATTTCTTTTATACACACCTTGTCTCAACAATGGCCAAATTCGAAAGCATTCAGCTGTTAGTGAATTAATTTAAAATTCAAAGTGCAATAAACTTACGTCCGAATTAAACGATGCCCGCGAAATTTCTTGTGATAACTAGCGACATCTACTGACGATCACTGTAACTAGAAATTACTAGTTACCAACAGTGATGTGCCGATCTCAGATAGGTGAGTTACAGTAGGTCAATTATCGTAATAAAAAATTTCGTTAAAATTCACGATACGATACGATCTCCTCTCGATCTCACAACTATCAAAAAAAGGTATTTTCGTAGTATAGTATTAAACATCCAAGGTTGACTGTAATGTGGTTATATCGTATTGTGACCAAAAGTCGAATCGATATTCTGCTAGTCTTAGTAATACTTTACTACGAGAATACTTTTAACGACATTTGTGAGATCGAAAGAATCATAACCGTGTCGAACGAATTTATATTACGAGAATTGACCTTCTGTTTATACATTTGAGAAAGAGAAGTATTTTTACTTACAAATGTTCAAAAATATTTGTTGCATTCCTGGAAATTATTGTCATTATATTATATTCCGTGGGCATCGTTCCTTTCATATTCGTAGTACATGCGTTTCTATGCGTTCGTCATAACAGGATCTTCGAAGCTTTATGTTATTTGCACAGATATGTAAACAGTCTAATTGACAGTATCTCTTGAAGATTAACAGTTTCTATAATATGCGTGATATGCATAAAATTTAGAAAAGTGTGAAGAAAGAAGAACTTTATTCTATAGGTGGTGGATTATATTTTTAAATGCAATTTAATTAAAAAAATACTTGAAATATAACATTTATTTTAAAGCCGTGTTTCAAGAAAACCCTTATCAAGTGTACAATTAGTAGATTTATAAAATCTATACACATCACAATTTTAAGAGAAATCGAATGAGGCATACCTAAATTCTGAGAACAATTTTCATTTCGATATTCTGAAAAGCGGTTTGGAT